TTTAATAGTGGGTGAAGAATATACAAGATGTGACAACTATGATCACGCCGACCAATCGGGTATTAGATTTTGGGTACGCACATAATTTCTTTCTCGAATAAGCCATACACTTCGTGATATTCATCACTCCGTTTCTGGTATATGTCGTTCATGCATTTGTCATAATCATTAAGTTTATTGTAAATATATAAAGCATCAGGACGTTTTGTTGGATCGGAATCCTTACATTGCTTTGCAAGCTCAATGTAACAAATTGGGTTCCAGGTGTAAATTTTGGTGCAATCCACCGCAAATCTTCACGGCAAGATCGACGTTGAATTCGTGTCCATCAAACGGTCTCTGCCAAGTCGATATCTCAGTCATGATAATTCCGAATCAATAGATATCAGAGGCTTGTGTAAACGACTTTCCCTGTAAATCTTCAAGAGCAACGTAAGGCAAAACTCCGTAGATACTACCTTCTGGATCATTTTCATTTACTTTTTTGGCTAATCCAAGATCCGAAATGTAGGATGTCGTATATTCAGGATCCGAAATGTAGGATGTCGTATATTTCTTATCGGTTTCGTGTTGAAAAATACCAGCTCTGTAAATGCTATTTAAATTATTTTGCGGCAAAATGTTAGCACTTTGCAAATCTGAGCGAATAAATCCAGCTCTGTAAAGACCATTTAAACCATTATGCTGCAAAATATTAGCACTTTGCAAATTTGTGTGAATAAATCCAGTTCTAAATAAACCATTTTTCTGCAAAATATTATCACTATGCAAATTTCTGTGAATAACAGTTTTGTAACCATGACTTAATCTGTAAATACGATTTAAATCTTTTTGCTGCACAAAATTGCAACTATGCACATCTGCGTTAATAAATCCAGTTTTGTAAACACGATTTAAATCACTTTTCTGTAAAATATCATCACTATTCAAATTATTTTGTTGTAAAACATTACCACTATGCAAATCTGCATTAATAAATCCAGCTCTATGGATACAATTTAAATCATCTGAAATATCTAAAAGTATTCTTAATTTAGTATTCCAGGTAAGATTGTGAAGTTTTAATTTTAAATTCCTGTAAAGATTTCCGTTATTAGCATATTGAAATGCCATCATATATTCATTTGTTTCGGTATTTTGGGTTAATCCATAAACTCCAAGCTTAGTCGACATTTTATATGATTATAAAACTTTGCAAATTTATATATAAAATATATATATTAAATAGATTATATTATTAATAATTTTACTTACTTTTAAAAAGTTTTGGGCACTATCCATGTATCTAGACAATGTTTTGAGTGCAACGATGGTAGTTGGTATATGAGGCAAAATATCGGTGTCAACTATTATACTATTCAATCTGGTAGCTTTAAACACAGTTCCGCAACCTTCTTTACCAATTATTTCGATGTTGGTTAGCAAATTGAATGGTATCCATTTAATTAATCGATCATGATTAAAAGCTCTAAGTTGAAAAAATTTTATGCAATCGTCAATATCTTTTTTTTTGGCTTGTCCATGATTACATCATGTCTGACACCACATATACCCCGTATTATATTCATTGCAATGTTTACATTTTTCGTAATAATCTCTCCGAGCAGGACTATAAAATTATGAGTATTCATCTTTTTAAATCCATTCTTTATATTTGTTTTCATTACATTTTACACCAATACCAAAAACATAACAAATAGCAGTTTTGTATATTCCGTTAAGATTGCCGATTTCGGCGGATTTCTGGTAGTGTTCGAATGCTTTGCGTTCATCCTTGATAACATCGATTCCCCAATTATAACAGAAACAGGTCCAGAACATCCCTTCACCACCACCCAATTCAGCGGCTTTCTGATAAGATTCGAAGGCTTTGCGTAAATCCTTTTCGACACCAACATCAAACTGGTGTCTCCATCCAAGCTCACAGAGCTGATTTTCCATGTTTTGACTTATTTAAAATAAACTGAAATGGCACCACTCTTAAAATAAAATACTCATAAGAAAATCTTTAGCAAAAAAATAGAGCACTACCTAACCCTACAAGATTGTTCACACACTATTTTTAATGTTATCAATCGATATTGTTGTGTTCAGCAATTTCAAATCAATTAAAATAATTTAAATAATTTGGTTATTATGAAAGCTAAAATCAAATAAATTATATTATTATGCTCGATTACTAAATTGTTTTTGCAAAATCATTTAGAAAATTACTACGTTTCACCACTGGTGATCATCACCAGTGATTTAACTCCCATATAAGATTATTTGTTGAAGTATCTATGATCCTTGCCATTTTTGTCCGTGTTTGTCCATATGTTGTTTTAATGGCTTAAAGGTGACTTGTGATCTGCCACATTTCCTTTTTAGTTAGAAAGGAAAAGATCGTCGTTATATAATTTTATATATTGTATTGTATATATATATACGTATGATATTGGGGTGTGTACCATCGGTCTAATTACAAACATAGTGCAGTAGTGTAGGTCATATAGTGATGATCATTAATCAAGATTTTTTATAGTGTACTGTAGATCAGCGTTAATTTAATAGTAAAAACATAGAAAGCTCAAGCTGCAATAACTCTTGAACCAACAAACCCACACAAATAAAACTATATTTGTCGGGTTCGTTATAATGCGCTCTTTAACGTAATAATGCTCTTTTTTTATATTTTTTATTATTTCTATTGCCTGGAACGTAGCAGGGAACTCGAATAATTTTTGTTTTTGATTTATTGTTAATCAAAATATCAAAAATGTAACTATTGCATATTGTGTCACAATATGCACAGAAAAACTCAAAGTTACATTTTTTGATGTTTTTATTAATAATATATCAAAACTGAGAATTTTGGTATTATTTTATTTTCTCCGCTATGCTTCAAACTAAACTTGGTTACCGAAACCTTTTTGGCCAAATCCGAAAGTTTCGGGTTTCGGATTATAGTTTCTGAAACCTCATCCGAAACCCCGAAACCTATCCGAAACCTATCCGAAACCTAAAACCCTACCCGAAATTCCGAAACTCCATTTGTATAATAAGATTTAATAAAATCAATAAAAAAGTATTTAAATCGGAATGAATTATCACGACAATGCAATTGCACCAGAAAATCTTGTAGGTTTAATTTGTAATGTGTTCTAAAATATTATAACTCTGATTATTTATTTGAATTTAGAATGTTATACTTATCATTATATCAAATCTGCAGAATAATTACTTAGTTAATTTTTGTAATTAGTAGATCCAAATGTAAGATCCACAAATCTGGTTCATATTATTAATAAATCTGGATCTTATTAATCTTAAATTTAACATTTAAGTCCGGATCTAACAATCTAATTCGGATTTAATGATTAAATTTGAACATTTTAATCCGATAATAAAATATTTTATAATCGACAATCATTATCATATATTAAAGTCAAAATTTTATTATGCAAATCGATCTTTTGCTATTAAGTAAAAATGTTCGCAAGATCAAAATACTATTACTCTGAAAATTTTATTTAAATTGGTTAATTTTTTACTAATATAGTTTTGTATTTTACGTTAAACAAAAAATTTAAAAAGTTTTTAAAAATGATATTCTTTGATCGTAAATTAGAAAAATGTATTAATAAAAAATTATTCAATTTAAATGAAACTTTTATGGTATATAGTTTTTGATCTCTAGAATATTTTTACTTAGTAACTAAAGAT